AATAGGTTTGCCCTGCATCTTCAGTTGGGAAAAATAAGTGGGCAGAGTTTGCCTCATTTGTTCATTGAGTACCAGCATTTTTTCTTTGATATTACCTTTGTTTCATGGGACTTCAGTTACCACATTTCTTTATAGGATAATCTGCACATTTCTAATCTGCAGTATCATCAGCTGATGGATGATTATCTTTCACATCAATATATCCTTTTAGAAAGTTCCCAGCACAACTGTGATACGGTTCGATAGCTGCATGACTATTTTCCATGTTCACGAGTAATTGCAAAGCAGTTGTAACAGCAGATTGGTTATTAACTGCTAGTTAGGGAGTCTTTTAAAGTCTGATCAGTTAAATTTACACCAACAACATCATTTTCCTAAATTGTTTTTAATAAGCAAAATAATTAAAAAGCCCTCTGTCCCTTTCACCTAAATACCCATAGTTAAGATGCACATAGATCTTACTCTCCTAGAACTCCCAACAGAAATGCCGTGTACTTGTGAAAAGCACATTTGAGAATGTTTATAGTAGCTCTCTGCCTTCATGACAGGTCCTGCTCAGAAGCCTCACAAATGGTTTCATCAGTAGAATGACTAGACTATGGTGTTTTTCATTCACTGGAACGCTCTACAATAACAAGGATGAGTAAAAACTATACACAATGTATATGTCTCACAGTATAACGTGGAACAGATGAACAGAGAGTTAGCAATGTATGATTCTACAAGAAATTTTAAAAAGCAGTCAAAATGAATGTGTAGTATTTTAGGGGCCAGTCATCTTTGTAGATGCAGGGTGGTGGTTATTGGAAGGAAGCACGGTGGAAAGCATCTGTTCTGCCTCTGGGGCCTGGTTACACCAGGTGTGTTCACTTTATGAAAATTACTCAAGCTATAACCTTGTGATTTGTACTCTTTGCTGAATCGATGGGCGGACTTTATTTTTGATTAAAAAAAAGTTAACCTCACTATGGTGGTGGCACAGGGGTGATTTGGTGATGGGAAACCCGCGGGGATTACAATTGAGATGGAAAAAAAATGTGCAAAATGATGTAAAAATAAACTTTGTAATAAATTTTAAAAAAGTTAACCTCGACAACATTAAAACTCATAATTTGCTGAGATGGTTTCTGAGGGCATATTTTCATAATGCCATCCTTTAATACCTTTAATAGCTTCATTTATAATTCCTGTCATTAGAAGGACAAAGCATCCATTCCCATTCAAGACAGTGGTGAAGCAAAGGTGAGGTGGTGGGAATGGCCTGGCCTAGCCTGCCCAGGGGCCTGTAATTAGAAAGTCCATTGTCTGAAGCTTGTTGTAGATGACAGTCATCTTCATTTTTATTATCACCATATGCCCACAGTTCTAAACAAGGCTATTGATAAAATCCTCAATAACAACAAAAATCCTTTGTTGGTCTAAATCCTAAATAATTGGTGAGCTTATTAGTATTACTTTTATTTCATGTGTATATAAGTATACTTGAAACTAGCACACATATCTCTTATCCATTAGATTCATATTCCTTAATGCACATGTGGTCTCAGTCTTGTAGGCCTTCATAGAGTAAGTTCTAGTCATTTGGAAGCTGCAGTCTCCATGGTACTTCTTCCTGTGGTTCAACAATAAATTTGGAGCCGAGCAAGGACAGGACAGTAGTGATGAAGCTGAGGGAACAGCCTGAGTCTGAGGTATCAGCTTCCGCACTGCCTATGAGACATGCTCTGTTGTGACTTTTAGAGCTCTTGGGTTTTAAGGCTAATGAGCCAGACGCTGATGATCACTGGAAGTGCTTCTCCGTGATAGGAAGCATCTTAAAAGCAATCCATTCTAGTTGTGCTAGGTGTGCTGCTCTAGGATTAGCATTCCTTCAGCATGGACAGAGAACTGGAAACATAAAAGTGGTAAAAATTCTCTTTAGTTTTGCTAACATCAAAAACTGAATACCATTCTAAGCACAATTATAAGCTAAAAATCACATATATTGACTGACTGTTATGTACATTGCTTCCGTGCTTACTTTGGATTTTAACTGTCTAACTTTGTTTACTGGTAAATCTTCTGCCTGACCAAAATATTGCCGTTGATGTGAATAAAATAAAAGCATTAAAAAAAACTGAAAGCTAAGAAAATATTGTGCCTAGAGGGTTGAGATGCAGTTCTCAAGAAACTTCCTACCTGGTTAAGTCAAGAAGGTTGAGGTTGAAAGTTGAAATAAATCACCTAAACTCCTGTTGATCTCTCATCCATTGCCATATCCCCACAGTCCTCAACTTACCCCAGAAACATCACGCTGCTTTTGATTATTCACCAGTCTTTCAAAACAATGTGACCACATTAAAAAGAGCAAGTTTTGATTGTGTGATAATCTTAGCCAGCACTGTATTGTTAACCCTTTAATATTCTTTTCCAGAGCTAGAATTTTTTTGAAGTTGAAAGTAAATTTCTAAAATGCTCCTTCCTTCCTCCATATACCTTGGTTATTGTGTTGTTGCTGGGGAGCAGCCTGCGTATTCTTCATTAGAACATAAATTAGGGTCCACCTGTTTAGTGGCATGAAGCCACTAAAAGGTATGGTTTCATAAACGCATTTTTTGAATACTGACATTTTGTTTCTGTGTTAATATGAGTTATGTAAGTTGTTTATGTAAGATATAGAGGTCTATATTCATATAGACATTATCTTAAAGCAAGATTTAAAGGAGTGCCACTATCTGTACAAAAATAGAGAGAGAAGGAGAGGCACTAAATAATTCTAAAAGGAAACCTGAGAAATTGGTAACACTGGTCACTTTGGGAAAAGTTAGCAAGTTCAGGGGTACAGATACACCCTAAAATACACTCTACTCACGATTTGATTTTTCTTTTTGTACTTGCTGCATGCATCTTTTTTCTTTTTGAAAAAACTTAAGCTATGGACACAAACTATGTCATGATAGTGAGAACAGGCATCCCATGATGAACATCACTGGTAGCCACCACCACAGAACACCTGGCTGCTTTTCAGGCCATGTTCCAGTGTGGTGGCGGAACAAAGGCCAGCTCTTAGTGTCTACTCTGTGTCAGAAACTGCTGTCCTGGGAGAGCTGTGGACTGACTGTAGCATCAGCTCCTATGTGCTCCAAGTGTTGGTGCCTCTCCCCACTGGAGACTGTCTACAGGTAAACCCAAGGACCTCTTCCTCAGCCTGAATGACTCAGATACAGATCTCAGGTAGCAGGAGACATTCAGCATTTTCTGTTAAGCTCTTCCTTCATGGAGCCAAATGTCAAACCTTTGAATGTGAGAAAAAGGCACACCTGGATATTTTATTCATTTATAATGTATCACACACACACACACACACACATACACACACACCCATGTAATTCCAAAAAGAAAAATGTGAGGGAACATTCCTGATTTTATGGGTGATATAAAACTGGACAAGTACAAGTAAAAGCAGATTGGAATCCAGTAAAAGGAGCTGAATTTTGGTTGGTAGTGGCTATTAGACATACCCAGGATAAGTTAATTACTGTAGTTGAGCACTGAATTTAGCTTTGAATTTCTTGGCACATAAGAAAAAAGGGAGAATATAAAGTATATGGTTCTTTTTATTTGAAGCCAGAAATTATGAAGTTTTGCCTAAGGAAATGGACATTTTCCTGATATTCAGTTCAAGAGGGAAATTCAAACACAGATACATAGTAAAACTATATATAGAATGACTCAGGTCTTCCTGGTAGTTAGTTAGTGCCTCTGAAGGTATTAAAATTAGCTAGTCAAAATGTGCCAAACCTCACCAAATACAGTTCCGTGTGTCAGATCTACCTCTCTCTCTTTAGCACTGTGGTAATGGCTGCCTACTGGATTGACATTCTCTTTATATATATACACACATACATACATACACACATACATGAGTGTGCATGTATACATACATACATATATATATAAAACATCATTGTTTTTGTACAATGTATGATTGTATGTTTTCTCCTCCCAGGTGTATTCCCCACAAAATTCCCACCACCTGTTCACCCATGAGCCATTACCATAGTTCCTTTCACTCTTAGTCTCATCCAGCATCTTCTCTGAAAGGGGTCAAATCCATCATTTTCCCATCCCTCACCAGTGGCCATATCTGAGTCTGAGACACTTCTTCCTGATCACATTGCTTCCTTTTGTCAGAACTTTGAAGACACCCACAAATCGGGATGCCATCCATAAGCCAGCTGTAGCCCTCCTCCACCTGGACCCCTCCTCCCAAACTCATTTCTCCCAGGCCCCTTAACCCTTGCATCATAGCTAGATTGAAGCTTTCTAGGTTCTTCTGTCCACACTATTCCTCAGCACTTCTGTTCAAAATCTTACCTGTCCCCACATACTGTTGTTGAAAGTAATGCTTCTCATCATCTGAATTTGGAGTAACTTTGGTAGGGTTACTTCTGTCTGAACTACACCTTTTCAGGTTATTAGGTTGTAGTCAAGTCCTACTTACTGTCTAGCATGAGTAGACACAGTGTAGGTAGTTGTAGAAATGTGTTAAATGTCTGGCAATGTGCAGTATTTCGCATCTTTCTAAGTCAGTCTTTAATAGGATTTGTTTCTCCCTGTTGCTGCTATGTAATTTGTAGTGAACAAGTGGTCAGTCAGCTACAAGTTCGGTCCCCTTAAATATCTAAAGGTGAGTGATTGTGATTCAGATTCTAATACTGTCTTTTGCAGGTGTGTTTAAGACCTCGTGGATCTTTTCTTCCAAGGGTGCAGAATTATTCTGACACCCCATGCAAAAAAGGCAAATGAAATAGGCATGCATTGTATGTAATTTCAAGGGAAGATGGCCCAAAAGGACAGACACCCCCTTAAAAAAATGGACAGTGGCCCGTAGAACTTGCTACCTCCCCCAGCCACCTGCTCCCCTCGCAGTCAGAAAAGATGCCACTCCATAGAGGTCCCTGCTTGTTGCCATGACTTCTGCCATGAAAGAATGACCCACTCCACTTCCTTCCCAACAGGCGGATTTAAACTGCAATATTCAAGATGATGCCGGAGCTTTTTACGGTGTAACCAGCCAGTATGAGAGTTCTGAAAATATGACGGTCACCTGTTCCACCAAAGTTTGCTCCTTTGGGAAGCAAGTAGTAGAAAAAGTAGAGGTAAGTTGGCCTCTCTAATCCCTATATCAGAACCTTCTTCACGGGCAAAGCATCACCTTCCTTTCAGCTGTCAGTGAGCAGAGTTTTACTTTCAGATGTCTCCTTTCTCCCACCTCTCTTCCCTGCTACTTCTAAAAAAGCAAATTGACTTGAAGGCCGCTGCCAGCCTCCCTGACTGTCTGAAGTTAGCCGGCCCTCCTCTCCCCTCCCCTCCATGATGGGTAGGGTCCAGGCTGCATGAGGCTTTTAGGGCACTCTGGTTGGGAAGCTGGGTGTCATGGACCCTGCTGTCCATCAGATGCTGTCCTTCCCACCCCCAACTCCAGGGGCCCTAAGGGGTGGTAGCCAAAAACTAGCAGGGTACAGCTGATTGGCATCTGCCTTCTAAAGTCCTGAGCCCTTGAACTTGGCATTGTTGCTTTGGCCATATCTACTCCCATCATTGAGTTGTCTCAGATTGTATTAGTGCATAGTGGGACCAAATATATACATTTATGATTTTTATATTTTTTACTTCCCTTTCTTTCAAAATACAAGCATATTTTCTCATGATGGGTTGATTTGGATGACAAATTCTTGTAGTTGACAGTCCATTTAAAGTGGTATTTTCCAGTGTCTTCTACCCATCTGTATTCAGTGAGCAGTTTTTATTCATAGTGGTGCTGGACCTCAGTGGTCCAGTGCAACTGGACTGCACAAAAGTTTGTGTTCAGGTGTGTGAGAGAGAATGTGATAGTGATAAGATGGAAGGAAAAAGGGGAAGGGCATATTTAAGACTTCGGGTTCTGGAGTGAGAATTTGGACTGCTACTCCTCACAGCTTCCTGAGCACAGATGGGCTTTGTGGGAATGATGACATCAGTGAACTGACTAGATGACCAGATCAATGTATGTATGTAAGTTTAGGGGTGATGAGCTTTGCTAAAATGATAGCACTGGGAATCCAGTAAGACATTTTTGATTGGAACCTGGATATTGCTTAAAGAGGAGGGAGAGAGGCCCTCCCTGGTGGCGCAGTGGGTTAAAGCACAGCACTGAGAATCTGGAGCCGCTTCCACATGAGTTCAATTCCCACCTGCCACGGAGGTGACCACATGGCGGGCAGACCTCTCCTGACCCACCCGCTGCTCCCCTCAACAGTGTACTTCCTCGATCTGCCTGTTCTGTTGCCCACTCTGTCTCTGGTGAATCCTCTCACCGCCCCTGAGCCTCTGGCCTGTACCCCAGTTCTGTATGCACAAATAAATAAATCTTTAAAAAAAAATTAAAAAAAAAAAAAGAGGAGGGAGACATACTGTGTTCAGAACATTGCTGCCACCAGCAGAGGTAAGAAAGTAACGTGTTCAAGAGGAAATAGGGCGTGACTGTGGATGAAGACTACACTTTGAGAGACAGATAAAGGCTGAAAATATCAACTGGGAATTTTATGCCCTAAGGATGACTAAAGTTGTGAGAATGGAGAGCTAGCTATCTGCAGTGGAATATAGGAGGGCAGAATAAGGATTTAGTTTGGAAACAGAGGCCGGGCCTGGAGAGAGTGAAAGGGAAACACAGGAGCAGAGGACAAAAGTGGCGGTAGGAGGAAAGGAGTAGGCTCAGAGCAACCACTGTGAAGCCCAAGAGGGGTGGGTGAGAGGGTGGCGGTTGAATGAGACGGGCGGGAGACGAAGAACCAGGTGACCTCCATGGCCTCTGAGAAGGAGGAGCACGTCGCATATTGATGGTTGGGAATGTGGAAAGGTAGTATTGACCAGCTACTCAATAGCTAAGTTATTTGTAGCTGGACTTCCTGCCTAGACAGGTCCACATGAGAGAAGGTGAGCCACCAAGTTACTCAGCTTCCAGATTTCAAATTATCCTTAATTGTGTCCCCAGAGAGTACACCCAAGGCTCTATACAAGTTTAGGGGACAGCAGAGGTTGCTTTAGACGATGAAATCTCATGAATTTTCTTGGAGAAAGTGGTATGAGTATAGCGGGAATTTCATAACTAGGCCTTTAATTTTGTGTGTATTTCTACATTATGTGAAATGGGAATCTACTACAAAACCATTTATTAAATGATTCATCTTTCTGATTGTGGTATCTTTTTTCCTCTTTATGTTACCATAACTATTGGGGTTCGATTTTCTTCACCCTCTGTGTATCTCATGTCACAATACCATATTGATTTAATTATAGTGGCCTAAGCATACGTTCTGATATCTACTGAGACAAGTCAATTTCACTCTTTCTTTTTCACTTATTTTCTGGGCTAGCAACTAATATTTATTCTTCTAAACAATAAGATCACTTTAAAAACATAATGAAAACAAAAACTTTGCTGAGCAGTCTTTGTAATTGTATGAGATTTAGATGTTATTTGGGGGTAAATTGATTTATTATTTATGTCAAATATTTTCAGTTTACATTTCTGAATCATTTTATCTATTTTAATAGATTTTATATTTTTATATGTAGGCTTGTCCCTTACGAAAAAATTCTAAATATCATGTAATTTGGTTATGCAGTTTCCCATTTCTAGATTTTAATCACCAGAAAAGGGACAAGCTCTTGGTTTTTGCATATTAATATTTACCTGGCCATCTTGACATTTTCTTTTATTTATCCCTGGTCAGTCACTTCCTAGATTCTTGGATTTTCTGTGTGTATAATCTTTTGTAACAACAAAAAGAAAAGCCTCTATTTTCTCTCTTCTTTTCCAGTGTTTATGCCTTTTTTTTTTAATTTTCTCATCGTTTTTTCATTTGCCAAAACCTCCAACTAGTTGTAAAAAGAAATAAAAGGAATGGTGGTGGCAAATGTTCTTATACAGTTACTGATGTTCGTAGAAATGGTTTTGGTGTTTTGCCATTGAGGATTACGTTTTTTATTGGTTTTTATAAAGGCTTTTTATATTTAAGTGCTTTCTTCTATTCCTATTTTACTTAGGACTTTTATTAGTAATAGCTACAATATTTTCCACATGCCTTTTCATCAACTTGTACTATATGATTTTTCTCCATTTTGTTGACTATATCATGAGTTAATGCTCTCCCTGTGTGGTGACCACCACAGCATTTCTCAGGAAAGTTCTATTTGGGATACATGGGTACATTTCTTCTTGTTATTTTTGCATTAAATGTTTGCATCTGTTAAGTGACACTGTGTACTTGATCCTCTCATCCCATTTCAATATTGAATGTACATCAAATTCACCAAAAAGAATTGGGACCTGTTATAAGAATTCTGTGGCCTGGTATTGTTTGAACATTGGTTAAAATAACTGTTCTTTAAAGGTTCCATAAAATTGAGCCATGAAACTATTTGGCCTTTGTACCATTTTCAGTGATAAGTCTCTAAACTACTTTCTGGCTATCTGGATAGTAATTGAACTATTGTAGTTTTTTTCTTTCAGTAGTTTTTAATTTTAATTTTTCTCTGCCTTATATGCACATGTTCTGCTCACCCTCCTTGCTATTGGAGTTTCTTACTTTTATCTTTTGGTGGAGATGAGCAGTTTGTTCTCTACTGGGAGAGCATCCTCTCTTGGAGGTTTTCATTGTCCCCACACCCAGCATAGAGTTATGTAGCATGACTGCTGATGAATCTTCTAGTCTCTACCGTAATTGTGGTTTTTGTGTCTTTTCTTCTTATGCTTCTGAATGGGTATATTTTGTCTTTTAAAGTATTCTTTTTGTTTTGTTTTGCCTACAATTCTAATTTCTGTTCCACTGGTTTGAGCTTATGTCTTCATTAATTTACTATTCCTACTTTGATTTCTTTGTGGTTTTGGGGGTGTTTTTTAAGTTTTTTTTGGTAGTTTAAGAAATTTTAAGATGTGTATTTAATTCTGCAATTTCCCGTTTTTAATGATGAAGACATATTGAATTTCCTTCATTAAGTTTGCTCCAAGTATAGTTTCATGGGAGCCATAAATTTGATATAAGGTATTTTCTTTTTCATGGCTTTTACTTAATTTGTTGTTTCCTTTTTAAATCCTGTGAGGGAACGTTATCTAGGAGTGTGCTTTCTATTTCTGAGTGCTCCGGTGGGGGTCACCAAACTGAAAATACAACAGTATTTTCTTTTTCTATTAAAGACATAAACAACTGACAGGGGTTCACGAGCAGTGGGCAGTGGTTTTGCCAGGTGGGGCAGGACTCCCTGGTTGTTAGTCTGTGAGGCCTTCTCATGGTGGGGAGGACTTTCTTGGGGGCACTTTGAAGAACTGGAACTACCTGCGCTGTCCTTGCAGGTCTCAAGTAGAGAATAAGGTCTCAAAAAGAAATCATATTTTTTCTGACCTTTGCTGGAAGGAGCGATACAACTCTTGTTTAAAGCTATCAACTCTCCAACTTTTTGTTTTTCAATATCTAGAAAAATAATGGAATCGGAGTGTAACATTAAGTTTGGGTTTAGGGTGGGTTTCGAGTTTGTAAACTACATGTAAATAGTACATGATGATTTATTTTGAAACAGTAAAATGTTTTCGCAGGCAGTAATATGTGTTTCGTGTATTTTGAAGTCCAAGTGTCAAAATGCCCAAATCCTTTTCCCCTCACAGACGGAGTATGCAAGGTTCGAGAATGGCCGATTTGTATACCGAATAAACCGCTCCCCGATGTGTGAATATATGATTAACTTCATCCACAAGCTCAAACACTTACCAGAGAAATATATGATGAACAGTGTTTTGGAAAACTTCACAATTTTATTGGTAACTATTTTGTCTCTTTCTGTTTGGGAGATTCAGCCTTGAGATTGGTAGGGACAGATCAGGATGTAGACCTCAGGGCACCAGGGCCATGCCAAGGGGACCAAGCTGACTGTTGGTCGGTTGGGTTCCAGGTGGCCAGTCAACAGTTAAATGCACAGGATCTATAAGGCAAACTTGGACTAAATTTGAGGTGAAATCTATGAAAAAAGAAAGCCAGGGCAGAAGTGGTATCGAGGCAGATTTAAAAAGTGTACCCCCAGCTTCTAACTCTGACTGCATATTAGAAAGACCTAGAGAACTTTTCAGAGTCTTATTACCAAAGCTGCACTTTATATCAATTAAGCCAGCATCTCTAAGGATAGATCCCAGGATTGTATGTTCTCAAAGTCCCCTAGGTGATTTAGTGCTAGCCAAGTGCAGCACATTTGTATGCATCAGAAATGAAGCAAGAGCCCGGGCCAGTTAGTTTTATACTTCAAACATATCTTGACTCATTTCACAAAGGATTTTCAGAAATTTCTAAGAAGTAACATATGTTAATATAGCAAAATCTGAACTCTTAGTACCAGGAGAAGCATAAATTAGAGTAGATTGTTATGACCAGGAAGCAGGAGGGGAGAATATTTTTCATAGGCTGAAGATTATGACCAAAACTTAACAGGCAGCTAAAGAGAAAGGTCTATGATAGGAAAACATTTCATCTCCCTGGACTGTGCTGTGTGTGGGATTTTTCCCCCCTAATATTTAACTTTGAAACAAATTTCTCTTAGGAGCTTCATCTGGGAACTTGGGAAGGTTATTAAAAATAGTATTGTCCTCAAACCATACCTATAAAATAGTCAGTAATGGGTTTCATAAGGCTCACTTAATAAAATAAATATATAGCATTCCTTGGAAGGAAAATGCCAAAGTAAAACTTGGTAGAAACAGTTTTGCTAAAGGAGCAGCAAGATTATATTGTGATCAAAACACTCAGACATCTGAAGGCCTGCTTTGTTACTGGGAGTAAGAGCCAGTATACTTCCAGTAGGAATGCTTTATCTGGAGCTTTCAGATGCAGTGAGAAAGTGATTTTCAATTATTGGTGTACTGGATTAAAAAAGAACAAAGATGCCCTATCCAAGCATATCCCCCCAAATCCTCAGATTTATATTTCCATTGTGTAAATATTCTCTCTGTGGACAATTTCATGCCATTGTCTACCTCAGGAAATTCATTAATATTTCCAGTCACATTTGTGAGCCAGTTGGAATAGTTTCTACACCAATATTAAAAAAGAAAATTAAAAAATTCATATCAGATTCATTCAGAAAATTTCTAATCATGCTGAGACCTGGGCCCCAGGATTGCTGGGGACAGGCCCAGCATCTTGGGTGTTGTGTGTGTGTTTTCACAGCTCCCAAGCAGTGTGAGTGCTCGCCTGCTGTAAAACCCACGGCTCACTGCCCACTGGTGAATTGGTAGGGAGTAGCAGAGCTCACAGTCATGTGCAGTGGCAAACACAAGTTTGCATATAATTTTCCTTTATTCTAGGGAGAGAGAGACTCAAATGTGAATTCTCATATGAGTACATGTCCTTCAAAATTTGTTAAAGTAGCAGGGGAAATTCAGAAATGTTCAGGGGAACACTTTGTAAAACTTGTTCTTTAAAACTATTCAGTAGGATTATTTCCTCAAGTGATCTTTGGTGAAAACTGAAGCGGTGTGGGACCTGGGTAAGGCAAGTACTTGGCATAAGGGTACTCTCTGTCTCCGTGTAAGAGCAGATAGGTCACCGTAGCTCTCAAAGAGAGATGTTCAGTGTGGCATCCTGAGGTAGACAGTAAATAGCCTCAGAAATTGACCAGTACTTAGAGCAAATGGCCACCTACCCTACGAGATTCTCCTGGAGGGTGTCTTAGCTATTTCTTAAAAATCAGTTTTGAGTCTATTCAGCATGTTAAGGAATATGTCTTTATTCCCTAAAACCCTGCCTCTCAGAGCACAGCCAAGGAAAACATGGGCTGGACAAATTTTATGGCGTCTGCATTACCCACAGAACCCATTACTATATCAGTAGTGCTCAGCATAGCTATCTGGAGACTCACCAGACTAAATTAATTTCGAAATGCACTATTAAACCAGTAAACCCCTCAGGTATGTAGAGTTAGTAACTCGTACTAAATACTGCTAGAAGTTTATTTTTGTGTAGACAAACTGAAATTAACCAGCATGCTGGATTATGAAAATAAAATCGTCTCAGTGATTAAGAGAAGAAATAATACTTCTCAGCTCTTCCTTGGAGGTTGGATGTAGGAGCACAGCCAGGATGGCAGCTGCTGGACATGGCTGTAGGTGTTTTCCTGGGTGCTTTGAATACAAAGTTTTAGTCAACAAGACCAAGATAGAGACAGTTGTCATCAGGGTGACTAAGATCCCCGTAGACTGGGATCTTAGTGACCGTAACTGAGCCACGAGCCAGGTATTCTGTACACACACACACACACACACACACATGTTACCCTCTTTTCTCCTTTTGAATCTCCATCATGAAGCCTGGACAAGGTATATATTTTAATGTTCAAAGGCAGGATACATTAGAGGCTCTTGGCACAATGCTCATATGCTCATAAGCCTTTTGAAAATATGTTATGAAATTCTCACTGCAGAATGATGAGGTCATTTTTATTCCCATTTTATGGATTAGGAATGTTAGACCTACTTGAGCTCACAGAACCACTTATATGTGTAAATTAAGATATGAATTGGTGGAAAAGAAACACTTAGGATAGCTCGTGGCCTAGAGTCAAAAGACTTGGGTTGAAGACCCAGTTTTGCTTTATGACCTTGGGCAAGTCATTTCATCTCCAGGCCTCAGTTTTCCTCTCCCACTTACAAGCAAAATATCTGGACTATCCACTTCAAAAATTATTGAAAATATTTTAATTTAGCCAGCTAAACTATGGAAAGATTTTATTAGCTGCTGAAAACAATGCAGATGACACTGTGCTTGTCCCTTAGTAAATCTTGACCTGGTAGAGGAAAGGCATGGAAAGACATGATTTCTATACAAAGTAATAATCGCTGTAGTATGTTTAAAAGGAAATCCTGGAAGTTCAGTGTCATTGAACTACCTATGCAGGTCAGAGGTGGCAAATTCTCAGGGTTATAAGAGATGATGTTTAAGTTGCCTTGATGGATAAGCAGACATTTCTCAGAATCATCAAGAAAGGTGCATGCATCCTTACATGGCAGTGCTGACATGTGGTGTAGTAGACGGTAGGGAAGCCATCTGCAGCCTGGTGAGGGAGACAGGATTCATCAGGTAAACTGAACAACAACTGACAGATCTAGGTAGGCGCCTTAAGCCCAAGTGCAGATAATAGTTCAGGACATCAGGAAAGGCTTTCCCGAGGAAGAAACAATAGAGTGGTATCTGCCAGCTGAACAGGCAAAGTAGGAAAAATTTCTCCAGGCAGGCAGGACACAGCAAGTTTCAGGATCGAGAATGGGGCCATGTGCCTGGCATGGGAGAGGGAGGAGAGCCAGGGACCAGAGAGCTGGCCACACCGGCCAGGGTCTCTGTAGACTTGAGGGGTGACAATGGGTTTTCTCTTCATCCTGAAGACACCATTCAGGGTTTCTGAGCAAGAGTCTGTTGTGAAAGATGTGTGTGTGTGTGTTTATAGTCAACAGTATATATATATATATATATATATATATATATATATATATATATATATATCCTTCCATATATATTCATTGTGTATATTCTTGGAAGGTTTCATGACTGCTGTGTGTGCAAAAGGGAGCGGAAGCAAGTAAGAGTGGTGGGACTTCCACAGCAGCTTGCTGGCACCTTGGGCTCTGACAGGGGTGGACTGGAGCCATTCAGGAGTTCAGAGCAGCAGGGCATTGCATTTGTTTGGATATGGTGATGAGTGAGAGATTTCAAGGATGAGAGATCTGTTTACTTGGAGTATTTAGTCTGTGAGGAAGAGATCAGAGATAGGACTAGAAAAGCAGGTGGGTTGTAGTAATAGAAAAGGTCTATGATATCCAGAGAGGGGGATGCAACTAATCCATCACCCTGTTAATTCATTTGTTCAGAGCAGTGTGGTATATTGGTTTTGTAAAGAGTCTTTGGAATCAGAAGATCTGGGTTTCTTAGTTTACAACTGAACTGTATAACCCCCGTACCTCCAAATGAACCCCTGCCACTTTTTCTGTCAAAGAAGGAGACAATGTGTGTAAAGCTCTTCGTACTGAGTAGATGCATACTAAGTGGTCAGTAGAGATAATGATTAGGATGTGAATATTTGTGTCTGTGCCAAACATTAGTCTGGTCCCTGGGAACATAGAGTTACTGAATGAGGCGAGTATTTAAAAGAAAATTATATAAATCTACATGTGCTTACAGATGGGAAAAATCACAAGTCCTCTGAGAGTGTATTCCTTAGACAGGCACCATGAAATGTGGATGCCATGAGGATTACAGGAAACTAGATAAGCAAAGCCCAACATGTGGTGGGAAGGAGATCTTGGCAATCTGGACAAGTGTCTCAGATGCAAATGTTTCAAAATACTGAGCTGGCCTAACACACAGCAGCTGAGCCACCAACATGTCCAGTGAGGAGTCGGGAGACAGTGTGGGGACTGAGGCAAGGCCTTTGGGAAGGGGACGCGGAGAGACCTGAGCCAGAGAGCTGGAAGTGCAAATGAAGCTGACACCCTAGTGGTTAAGAGGGGAGAGCAGACTTCCAGCGACTCACCCTGAGTGGAGAGGAGAAGAGTAAAGGCAGACCCTCAGACAACGCCACTGCTTGGACTTCATTCTGTTATATTGCTGAGAACAAAGAAATCCCACCTGTTAGGACATTGAACAAATCCTTTTCAAGGGCCTGCTTCTGTTATACATCTTTTTGTTTAAAGTCACGTTTTTCAAGGACCAGTAAGTGAGGACTTACTGTACTTCAGAATTGGCACTTGGCGTGGCCTCTACAGGGTTCCCTCATTCAGCATAGATTTACTGAGTCCAGACCCTGTGGGTTGACACGGTGGTGAGCAAGACACTCATGGAGCTTAGGTCTGCCCTTAGCTATTGTGAAACAAAATTGAGGGGAAGCTTAGGAATAAGATAGGAGACAGTTTTAGGATAAATCACAATTTTGTGATAGAGAAATATAATAAATTGTCTTTGTTGAAGGAAAACAACCCACTTTAATGATTGAGGTTTCTTCTTGGGCTTAGATTATAGATGAGACCCTCTCTATGTGTGGGCCCTCTACCTCCGGTAACTAAGCTAAGATAGGCTTCAGGTTGAAACTCTAGTAGACAGTTTGTACAGAGATAGTAGCATGAAACTGGACAGCCTCTAGCCACCCAGCTGTGGGGCTGTTCCTCTCCAGCGAAATCATAGTCATCTTAGCACAGATGGAATGTTTCCATCCATGTGGTATTTATTCTATATCCATGTGTTGTGTGTGTGTGTATGTGTATATACATGTATGTGTTTTTTTTAACAGGTGGTTACAAACAGAGACACACAAGAAACTCTTCTCTGCATGGCCTGTGTATTTGAAGTTTCAAATAGTGAACATGGAGCACAACATCATATTTACAGGCTTGTAAAGGACTGACCATGGTTATTTATATATATAGATATCTGTATATACACACACATATGTGCGCACACACACACACACTCTCCATTATCCAAGGACTGACTGTCAACCTCACCACACAGGGGTGGTGCCCTAGCCTGAGGTCACCCCAACTTTTCTAAATCCTGTTTGAGTGAAGTCATTTTTTCATGTGTTCATACTATCGTTGTAGCTGTGAAGTTCCGGTACAGTTGTAAAAAGAGAAATTGAGTTGTTTCTGTGTCTTCTTCAGACCTGCAGCCCACCATTCCCCAGGAAGGGTGAACCTTGAGAACCCAAGTCTCTGCCAAGACCTGTTTCTATTTGTGGCAGAAAATACTGAGACAGAGCATTTGCCCTGGGACATTGACAGCCTTTATACAAATGTATTTAGTTATTTTTTTTCCAACATAAAATTCTTGTTTTAAGATACAAGTAAAATTAATCTTTAAATATAAATGTAAATTAGTACACAAACTAAGAATCTTTAGACTTAACCTTTGTAACTAATTAGGGTGGAAGTTATGAAAGAATGTAATTCACTAAATTATTTTTTAAATGAAACTTTTCTTTCTTTTTGAAACCAAATGTTAAAATATAGCCTTAAATGCTTGGTAGAAATAGCCTAATGAGACAAATTTGTACTTTTTTTCTCAAGGTTAAAACTAATCTCCTAATCCATTAAACTCTGAACAGGTATTACAAAGGAAGAAAACTTCACTCCTTATCCTTAACATATATAGTATATTTAAAAATATAAAATTGTATTGTACTAATGTGATGATTGATTATTTAATGAAAAAAGAAAAGATGGCTCTTTTTTTGCAATAAGTAGATAAATACTGAAAATCTAAACTCACATGTTTATAGTCTTGTGTGTGCAGTTATATTTTATATGGACAACCAAATTTTTTATTGATGCATAAATATTTGAACCATTGAAAGGTAATAACAAAAATTTAAAATTGGCATGAATACTGCACTGTGAGCTGCAAAGTATAGAAAATCCTGTGGCTGGGCGAAAACTTCATCAACTAAACCAATACAAAGCTCATCAGTTTTAGTATCTGCTCCCCAGAAAATTGTAAGCACTCTCAGCAGCCTGTGGATAAATTCTTCATTTCTGGTGATCCTATACACCTACTAACCTGCTATAACTATATGTGTAGGTCTGTATTTACTTATACAGATCTATATATGCCCATATGTAGTTGTTCAACACATATTTATTGAGCATCTATTTAGTGTCAGTCAGTTTGCTAGGTGCTGATATGTACGTATATCTCAATCTGTGTCTCATAGTTCTATATATATTTTCTAAGGACATCCATTTTCTTGACATCTCTCAATAAGTCACTGTTCTTGTTTGAAGTTTATGAGGCCAAGTTCTTTCTCTCTCTGACCTTTTCAAATGGGCTCATCTGGGAGTCTCTTCCCAGGAGAGATTCAACTTCCCAGGCCAAGTCATCCAAAGCATTACCCAGGCAGAATTGGTTTGCTATGGCCAAACGTCTTGGGTTATTTCCAAAAGTGCTTCATTGGGAAGCCAGCCAGGCATACCCCCCAGCTTCCCAGAGGAAAGTGACATTTTTATAATTGTTAGGAATATATTAATACAATAGAACATGAAAAAAGTCTTATAACTTGTGATACATGTCAAAACTTTCTCATCAAGCAAGAAAAGAAAAACTTCATTCTGTCACATTCAAGCGATTCACGCCCCCTGCCCAGTCTCATGCTCTGCTCTGACCCTGTTTGTGTGTTGGTTATTGTCCACTGGTCATGAATATGAGGGTGTAACTGACTCGTGGCAAACAGAAGAGCCCTGGGCCTCTCCCAAGCTTGTGCCCCGGTCACTGGGAAAGGCAAATGAGAAAAGTGCAAAACTTTCCCCTTTGGGGATGCACCTCCCTCACTTCAGTAATGAGTGTAAGGCAGCACCCATCTTCCTCTGTAAGGAGACTATCCTTTGTTCCCAGACTCCCATTAGGCTGGGGTGGGGGGGCTTTCCAGGGACCCCCCTTTCATTTGGCCTTCAACCCTAACATTAAGCCTCTTTCATGGTCATTCTCTTTATGACAACCGTTGGCCACCCATCTTAGAGATGCTTCTTTGGTTCCCCTTTATTGTATCTTCCTTCAGGGGAACCCCCACTCCACCAAGACCAGGACCTCTATAGAGGGGTACAGATTAGCTTACGTATGTGGCCCCAAATCAGGCCATCTCAGAACTTCAGGGAAAGAAGTATCTCCCTCACATTCCCACACGGGAGTGGGGCTCTTCTGTGCTGCCAGGAGAGCTTGGGGCTTACTTGTCAAGGCACAAATAGACTGAGACCCACGAAGGGCAGCTCATTGGTTCTTTGAGTGGCGAAGAAGGCGTGCCCCAGTCTGCTGAGCCCACACACTCAGCCTGGCCCTCTGGTACTTTGCCGCCACTGCCCTCCTCCAAATGCCTTTGCGTTTAGTTTGGGGTTTTACATGAATGACCTTGACGGTTTCTTTTTGCTTTTAAAACATTTCTAGGAGCTTTTAAACTTACTCTTTGTCTGATTCATTAAAAGTTCACTCCCTCTCGGAACCATTGGTCCAGTTACCCAAACTCTTGGCCTCTCTTTGTCTTTCCTGAATTGAACCTTGGTGGTATGGGATGACAGTGGGGATGGGAATAGGAAGATTTGTATTACAACATCTAATGTGAGCCTGACCTCAGTCTTCCAGACTTTATGGTGGAGTCTTCTCCCTTTGTCTATAAAGCTTTCTAAACCATAAAGAAGCTTTTCTGAAGCTCTGTGGCCACCACTCCCTTCCAGCTGTGCTCTCTTGGTGACCCTCCCCTATGACGCTGGATTCAGAGACATCTTGTATTTTCCCTGGAGAGTTTGGAGGCCTAAACAGGGAGGAGCTGCAAAGCTAGACTCTCTTCTATTGGCATTCATTTTTATCTTACCAGGAAACCCAGCCAAATCAGGACTTCTTCCAGAACATGGTCTAGACTCCCAGAATGGCCAAGCTTTTCTGGACCAGATAACACTGCTCTGCAGGGCTACCCTGCCCTTCATGGGAGGCATGGCAGCAACTGGCCTCTGCCCATTAGAGCCACTGAAACCCCTTCCGCCGAATTGCACAGAATTGCTCCGAGTTGAGAACCACCACCCTAGTTCTTCCAGGCCACAAATACCATATTTGAGATGTTCTTTCCTTCCATTTTATTCCAAGACAGCTTCTCTCCTGGAAGGAAGCCTTGTTCCAGATCATTGAAAAGCAGGTAGAATATGACTCCAGTGGCGCTATATCCATGTTTCCTTTTGCCTCAGAACGTCTGTTTCAGTCTCTTTTACTACAAGTATTCTTTCACTCGCCCCCTGTACTCAACTTACACTTCTTTAAAGAACATGTCTAATTTGACCCTCCTCCCTTTACCAGGTTAAAAAAAAAAATCCCAGCAATGTTTATTATTCCTCACAAACTCATGGGTCTCATTATCAAACTTTTAATCAAAGAACTTCATTGAACTTCTTGGCCTCCTACTTTTTGCCTTACACTCAATGCTGTTTGTGGGACATACAGAAGTCTGAGACATTTCTTTTCATCTTTAGCAATGGAGGAGAGAGAGCAGTTCTGGAAGAGGGCTGATTGAGTTTTCTTTATTGAGCTGAAAGAGCACAGTCTACTCTCCCTCATTTTGTAGATGACAAGGCTGAAGTCTAGAGGAGAGATGATTGCCCCCAGCCCCCAGCCAGGCAGACAGTCAAGGCAAGGCCCCTAGACACCTGCTGCTCTAACCTGCAACCTGCAGCCTCTTCTGTAGCGGTCGCGCCTCTCGGTGCTCAGGCTTACCTGAACCCTACCAATGCATGGACAGGTGAGACGAGAGGGAGCCAGAGAACCCCCCTTTGCCAAAGCAGCCTCACCCCAGGGCTGCTGCAACTGCTCACGCTAGCCTGCGCTTTCTGTAGCAGCCATGAGCCCAGTGGGTGCAAAAGCTGATGAGCCTTTTTGCTGACTCCAAGGAGCCGCCCAGCCGCAGGTTCCGTGTCCCCTTTCAGTTTGCGGAGCGTCCAGCAGCAGCCCCACACTCAGACCAGCCAAAACCAGCCTCCCGTTCCCAGCACTTGGTGTCTCCAGCCCCCGATGACTTTCAAACCCAAGTCTTTAGGTCTCAATATTTAGTGGCTTTAGCAGTTTGTTTTTGTACAACCGTAAATTATTTAAATCCTATGAGATGACAGTCATTTTACAAACCAGGTACCGATAATTTGTATAATTTTGTATATGCTCTGGTACACTACACCTGTCCTGACGAAGGGTAGAACCAGCCTTGTTGGTGTCCGCCCCTGTGACAATTAAGAGGATATGTCTGCATCGCTTATTTCTTTATGTTGCTGTTTCTGTGGCAAAACCCTGCACATGTCATTTCTGAAAAGCCTTAAATCTTTGAGATGTTGCGTGTAGGGTACACAGTGCAAAAGGCTGCCTCGGAACTGTGAGCCCTTTTGTAAGCTGGAAGTGTTTCTCTTACTACTGTTACTTTTTTTAGGGAGTTTCAATTCAGAGCTGCCAAAGCGTTCCCGTCAGCAGTGCCTTAGTGATACCATAGTCGCGCCAGCCTTTTCTTAAACCAGTTCTCAACATCCATTTCCTGATTGGCCCAATATTGAAGACAGAACAAGCAAAAAAAAAAAAAAGTTGCCCTTTTTGTTTCGTAAGCCCATTTTTCTCCAGTTCTGTGAAAAACTGACAGCGTGGTCGCACATCTGAAACTGGACGCAAGTCGGTTCTCTGACCACACCCTTAGATGTATATACCAAAACAGAAGGTTTTGCAGCTTCATAGTTGACTATGAAAAGCAAATTGTACTTTTAATGTTGCCTTTTAAATTGACGACCAAATACTTAGCTCTTTGTGACTCTTCTGCACTCTTAGCATGAAAGTGCCTTTGGTTTGAGATTCCAGCTTAGAAAAGTGCTGCCATAGTAATGATAACTTGTCGAGAGACCAAAAATTTCCTGAGATCACCGTAATGCCTTTGGTTTACCGGGATGAATAACCAGCCACAGGCCTCTGTTCACAAGAGCACGACGTGGCCCTGGTCGCCGTCACCACCGCCACCCACCAGGAGCACACTGCAGCAGGAGGGACCCCAGGAACTATGTCTCTGTGTGCCAGTGACCCAGCGTGTCATCTCAGCTCATCACCCAGCCCTGCATCCGCCTGAGGGGACTTCCACACAGACGGCAGAATCTCACCCTCCTCCTCACATTCGTGTTTATTCTCTGTGGAGGCTTTTCTGTTTCACTCAAATGACAGTGCGCACTTACCTGGTTGACACAGGGATACCGTCTTGAAAGTTGGAAGCCTCAAACTGAGATGACAGTGCAGAGCAAAATGAGTTAGGGCC